AATTTCTTGAATTCTGAGAGAACCTTTCAAGAGAAATCCAGGCACTCTGTCCCATGTGCTCAGTAACCCTTGATGGATTCATTCCAACAGGACATTCCCAGCTGTCCTGCTTCCAGCTGACCAGGCCCATCTGGGAATCCAGTGCTGTCCTCAACAGCAGGAGAAGATTCCATCACCTCTAATTGCCAGGACACTGTCCCTGCCCCACAGCAAGCTCTGCTTGGCTCCCCAAAGCTTTCACCCATCCCCTTCTGCAGCCTGGGACAGTGGTGCAGAGCCTGCCTGCACAATGAGCCTTTATTGTCCATGCAGTCCTGCAATGGTTTGGGAAAAAAACTATCCAGGGTCCACCCAGAGCCACCCCTGCCATGGCAGGGACACCTCCCACTGTCCCAGGGTGCCCCAAGCCCTGTCCAGCCTGGCCTGGGCACTGCCAGGGGCAGCCCCAGCTGCTCTGGGCACTTGTGCCAGGGCCTGCCCACCCTCACAGCCCAGAACATGAAGAGTTTCTCAGGAGAGATGAAATAATGGCCCTGACTGGCAGCCACTCTCCACAGCTGAACACAGACTTACTTGATATTGTGTATTTTTCTTGCAACGATCATTGGGAAATCCACTTCAAAATATTTCCTAGGGAGAAGATTTTCATCCTGGGAATGGCAGGAAGACACTAGAATTAGGAACACTCAAGTTTCACACGCACAGGACAAGACACAAGCAAAATCCTGAACAGTTCTGGTTTGGCTTACACTGCCATTTGTAACAGTGTCCCACAGCTTAAAACCCAACAAAAACCAGCTGAGAGACATTAGAATGCCCTCTGAGAGCTAAAGAAATGATTTAACACTTATGTAACCACAGAAGCATGGATGAGATGGGAAGGGACCCTGGCAGGGTCACCCAGAGCAGGGGACAGGAACGTGTCCAGGTGGGGCTGGGATGTCACCTGAGAGGAGAAGGACTCTAGGCCCAGACACAGGTACTGGAACACACCCTCCAGGCTGTGTCCTGGGGCTGTGGGAGAGCACAGCACACTGCCCCAGCACCTACCAGGACTGTCAGCACAGGATTGTCAGCACAGGACTGTCAGCACAGCCTTCCAAGGGAGGAACAGCAAGGTTCTGCACAGGCTCACCCAGACAGGGACCACACTGCAGCTCTCCCCCAGGCACAGCCAGAGCATGAGCACACCAGCCTGCCCGGGCTACAAAAGAGAGCAAAGCCCTTCATTCCATGCTGGCAGGGTTTCCCAGCCTGCTGGAGAAGCTGTGCCAAGTCTGTCCCCTGCAGCAGCCCCTTTGTGATGGATGTTGCTGCCTGTGCTGGCTGTCACCCCGTGGCTTTCTGAGGTGAAACCAGCACTCAACGCTCCAGGAACTGCCTCCCAGCTTCTGCTCATTCACTGCACCACACCTGCTCTCTGCAAGGACAAAGAACTGGAATTACAGGCCCCACTTCAGCCCTTAAAAGCACTGTTACCAAAACAGTATATGGGCAGAGCTTCTACAGAAATGCAGGTAAGAGAAAAGCTTCACATCTCAGGAAAAAAAAAAATCAGAATTGTCTCCTTTCCACTGATGGAATACAATAAATTGTGACCAAGCAAAATGTTCCTCAGGCTTTCCTCCAGAACCCAAATTTACCCACTTAAATGCTAGTGAGAAGACAATTCACTCAGAGGTGTGTTCACCCAGAATGATATCATCAAACAACACCTGAGTAACTGAATTGCCATGAATTACACACACACAAACACTGCTATGTATGGAACAGGCTGCCCAGAGCAGCTGGGGCTGTTCCTGGATCCCTGGCAGTGCCCAGGCCAGGCTGGACAGGGCTGGGAGCAGCCTGGGATAGAGGAAAGTGTCCCTGCCATGGCAGGGGTGGCACTGGGTGATTTTCCAGATCCCTTCCAACCCAACCCACTCTGTGATTCCATGATTTACATAATTAAACTCACAACTGGAATCCTCAGGGGATGTGGGGTGAGTGTGGCAGCAGGTCAGGGAGTGCTCCTGCCCCTGCCCTCATCCCTGGAGAGCTGCAGGGCCCAGTCCTGATCCCCACGAAACACAAGGAGCGGCTGGAGAAGGTCCAGCAGAGGCCACAGAGATGATTTGGGGTCTGGAGCATCTCTGTGATGAGGAGAGAATGCAGGAGCTGGGCCTGGTCAGTCTGGAGAAGGGAAGGCTGAGAGGGGATCCCTTCAATCCATACAAATCCCTCCCAGGGTGTCAGAGGATGGTGCCAGACTCTGTTCGGTGACAGGATGAGGAGCAGTGGCCAGGAACTAAAACACAACAAGTTCCACCCTGACATGAGGAGGAACCTCTTTCCATGACAGAGGAAAGAGCAGAGCCCTGACATGGCAGAGCCCAGGGAGGGTGTGGAGACATCCCAAACCCACCCGGACACGTTCCTGTGTCACCTGCTCCAGGTGACCCTGCCTGGCCAGGGGCTGCACTGGATGATCCCCAGAGGTCCCTTCCCACCCCAGCTATTGTGGGGTTCTGTGTGGGAGCTGCTGCTGTGCTGCCCTGTGGCACAGAGCCAGCTGCAGAGCCCAGGGCAGCCCCTCAGGGGTCCCCCAAAGCTGAGCTATTGTGGGGTTCTGTGTGGGAGCTGCTGCTGTGCTGCCCTGTGGCACAGAGCCAGGCTGCAGGGCCCAGGGCAGCCCCTCAGGGGTCCCCCAAAGCTGAGCTATTGTGGGGTTCTGTGTGGGAGCTGCTGCTGTGCTGCCCTGTGGCACAGAGCCAGGCTGCAGGGCCCAGGGCAGCCCCTCAGGGGTGCCCCAAAGCTGAGCTATTGTGGGGTTCTGTGTGGGAGCTGCTGCTGTGCTGCCCTGTGGCACAGAGCCAGCTGCAGGGCCCAGGACAGCCCCTCAGGGGTGCCCCTGTCCCAGCCAGGCCTGGCTCTGCAGCCCTCGTTACCTTCAGCCTCCAGAACAGGGTGTCCATGCCAGCGCCAAGGTTGACAATCTGAGAGTTGCATTGTGTCTTCTGCAGGAAAGCCTTGATCAGGTAACTGACCCCGTGCACTCGAGCATAATAACCTGCAGCGCACACAGAGCTGGGAGTCACCCCTGGCACACAACCCTCCATGCTCAGCACTCGTGAAGGTCCCCAGGCAGTCTGCAGGAACAGTAATGCCCTCTTCTTAACTACCTAAGGGCTTCTCTTTTTCTTTTTTAATTACAAACAAAACCTCATGCACTGATAAAACTCAGCTCCTTGGGCAAACAGAAGTTTTAGTCAAGTTTCACCTCAAGCAGAGCAGAATAACTCTACACTTGCAGAGACCCAACTGCCCTGGGTCAAACCAGCATTTCTGACTGCTTTGAGGAGATCTCTACACTGGGACACACAGAGACAGCCCATTCAGAACTTAGAAAGCAAAGGAAGAGAGTTTTGACTCACAGGTATTTAAAAGATCAGACACAGCATGGATGGAAGTACTGCTGTGAAGAAACCTTGTCTCACTCTCTCACATATTCCCACCCCCCAACTCCCAGGGTGCAGAGGTGTGGTCAGGACAGGTGAGGTGTCCCCATCCCCGTTCCAACTTGCCTCTGTTGATCTCAGGTGCCTTCCTCTCTTTGGCTTGTCTCACAAAATGCTGGATGTAAGGGTCCTTCCAGTAGCCAACGCTCACAGCAAACCTGTGCAGCAGCAGGAAAAAGAGAGAATTATGAAATAAGGCCCCCAAAATTTACCCTAAAAGATACACAGGCTGGAAAGGTCCCTCTGCCCCGGGTGTGCACATGCAGGCACAGTTTAAAAATCTGTTCCATGTGTGCAACTACTTGAATTAAGTATGTAAAGTTTAGTTAGAAATTTTAGTTGTTACCATATTCAGTAAGCATCTTTTTAATGGCCTCTTCACTACCGGATGAAATTTTGTGAGCAAAGACCCAAATCTCAAATATTCCCTCCTGGGGGACCCAGAAGATGAATTGTCTTTCTCCAGCTCCTCAGGCATACAAATGAGGCTTTACTTCTACCTGCTGTACATGACAAGGTGCTTGCACTGATTTCAGAGCCACTACATCAGTTTACAGTAAAACAGTTCTGTTTAACAGAACTTATGGCTTTTACAACTGATTCCCCAAGGAAAACTCTCCCTCCAACAAACGATCTGCTGCTCTAAAGCCCACAAGGCCAGCCTGACCGAGAGAGAGGCTCAATTCACACACGGGGGCAGTGACAGCCATCCCCTGCCAGCGCCCATCCCGGCGGAAGCAGGAAGGAGATGGAGAAGCGCCAGGCCGGTTCTCGGCTCAGCTATCAGGCACCATCGGCCACGGCAGCGCTGCAGGCGGCTCAGGACGGGCCCGGCGGGGCTGGGGGCACCAGGGCAGCTCGGGGCGCACCGCGGGTCCCGGAGCCGCCCGCTGCTCACCGCGGCTTCACCCGCGGGACCAGCTCCGAGCTGACCCGGCCGTGCCCTGCGGCCGCTGGAGCCCGGGGCGCACGCACAAAGCCCCGGCACCGGGACGAGCCGGGATCGCTCCTGCTCTGCTCTGCTCTCCCGGGAGCCGCCCGAGCCTCGCCCGCCCACTGCCCAGCCCCGCCGCCCGCGGGGAACACCGGCCCGGCCCGGCCCGGCCACTGGTCCGGCTCCGGTACCGTTTGCAGACGGACGCGTCCTCGCAGGTGCCCCGCACCGCCTCGTCCGCCTCGTCGGGGCCGGTGGCGGCCGCCATGGAGCGCGCGGGGCCCGGCCGCTGCCACCGCCCCTGCGGCCCGCCCCCCGCCGCCGCTCATTGGGCAGCCCCTGCCGGAACTCGGCGGCCATTGGTCCGTGCGCTCATGGAAAAGCACAGCACCCAATGAGAGCGCGCGGGATGCAGCGCCTCGACCAGGAAGCGGTGGCAGTACCGCAAGGCGGACCGGGAGTTGTAGTCCAGGAGCGGCTCGGTGGAGCAGCGGGGATGCAGCTGTCCGGCACCGGGCAGCCCCGCCGGGGGCTCGGTCCCACTGCCCCTCGTGAAGCAGCAGCACCCGGCGCCAGCGAGCGAGCGAGCGGCGCAGGACGAGCCGCGGCGCTGAGCAGCGGCGCCATCCGGGCCAGGGGCGGAACATCCGGGCTGGGGGCGCCGATCACGCGCGCTGCGGGCGGAGGGCAGGGCCGGAAGCGGCGGGGGCCGGGCCGGGCCGGGCCGGGCGGTGCTGGGGCGGCGGCGGGGCCGGGGGCGGCCGGCGCAGAGCGGCGGTGCCCGGGCAGCCCGGGGCAGCGGCCGCCGCCATGAAGAAGCAGTTCAACCGCATGAAGCAGCTGGCCAACCAGACCGTGGGCAGGTGGGCGGCGGCGCCGGGGCCGGGCCGGGCGCGGGGGCTGCGCTCCGCAGCCGCGGGGCCGTTCGGGGCCGTTCGGGGGCGAAGCCTCGGGGGTAGCGCGGGGAGCGGCAGGCGGTGGGGGGAAGGCTCGGCCCGCGCCGTGCCGGGCTCTGCCTCGCCCGCCTGGGGTCGCAGCCACGCCGGGATCCCGGGGCTCCTCGGGGGTCCCGAGCCCCTCCCCGGCCCCGCGGGGCCATTTGCATCGGGCGCTGCCTGTCTGCGCCCTGGCGGCTTTCGTTTCCTTTCGCTTCCTTTCTGCCGAGGTGTTTGCCCCATTTCTGCTTTCTCTCCCATCTGAGAACACGCCGAGAGTGCCTCTCCAGGAGTTCACTCGCCTCCCCAGGACTTGATTTTAGCAAAACCAACAGGAGCCCTGTGGGTACGATTGCCACCAGTTTCCAGCTGCCCGAGTCTGACTCGGAAGGTTTTTAACTCAACTGGGCAGTAACAAATCTGTGCCCAGACAGGGAAGTGCCCTGCAGCAGCGGCTGTCCCCGAGCTCAGCATGCAAATGCAAATGTCACCGCACTGCTTCTCTAGCAGAAATCAATGCAGAAACTTCCTCCTGCTTTTAGTAGAGATTTAATTTGAAAATCAGTTCTTACGTTGAGAGTATACATTGAAAGTCTGTACTGGTGCTGATAGTATAAAGTTATTATCTGAGTTTATGTCTTGGTGGCCTCCTTTCCAAGAACTCCCTCCACGGGGTGTTTGTTTTCCTTGGAGCCCACACAGCCCAGGGCAGGTGTGCCAGCTAATAAAGCCCAAGGAGGAGATTTTTAATAGGTTTGTTTTGCTATTAAAGAGGGAACAACTTCCTAACCGACCTTGTCCTCTCGTTCCCATTTCACGTGAATCAATGGATGTTTGATGTTGCTGAGGGATTACTGGCATTCCCTGTTTGCCCGTGTCGGCCCCCAGCTCCAAATCCCGGGTGGAATGTGGAGCAATCCGGGCTGTACCGGGCAGGATCAGCAGCTCGGGGTGCTTTGTGCTCCCGGGCCAGCTGCAGAGCACTGCAGGGCAGCGTGGAGCCAGGGTGGGGAGCCTGCCCCGACCTTTGCCCGGCTCCTGGGGTGTGGTGTCCGGGCAGGCTCCTGCCCCACACCTGTGCCACGGACTCTGGGCTGCCCTGGGCACGCAGGGCTGGGGCGGCCTGGTTTCGCTGAAGTGCTGACACTGCTCTCATTGGGTTCCATTAAAAATTACACTGCTCTCTTTGGTTTTCATTAAAAGCTGCAGAAATGACACCGAGTCGTTTGGTTTTACACGTTTGGCATTCATTAGTGATGACTATTTCATATTGCTCACCTGCTGCTCACATTTCATGTGCTGGTCAAGCATTCCTGTAGTCACCAGGGCCTTATTTTGTTCCCCAGAGTAAAATCCCATAGCAGGGAGGGCTTTTAACAGGTTTCACTTCCAGGTATCAGGGCTGAGGCTTTTGGATTTGGTTTGAGAAGCACTGCAGGGCTCACGAAGACACGAGAGACATTCAGCAGGACCCTACAGGCAGTAGGATATGTTGGATATGTGTTCTGTTGAGCTGGTGAACCCGTTTGTTGGTTTTTCACACTGGGATGGAATGGGGGGCTCAGGAGGCTCCCTGTGGGTGTGTGAATTGCCTGCAGGGGTGGTGGCTCCGTGTTCCAGGGCCCTGCACCGTGGGCAGCCCTGCAGGGAAGGAGCTGCTGCCAGGAGAAGCAGTGCTGGGAGGAATTTGGGATCTGTGTGAGGGGTCCATGCCCTGGGGCTGATCCCTGCCTGGCTGCTGCAGCTCCTGGTGCTGTGTGTGGAAGGGCTGTCCCCTCCTGCCCTGCTTCTCCTCCCTCTGAGGTTCCTGGGCTGTGGGAGAGCAGCCAGGTTCCCCTGGGGCTGTGTGAGTGCAGGGGGGAATGACACTGCCCTTCTTCCAGGCAGCTTCCAGGGCTGCCATCCTGGGCCTTGCACCCCAAATATCACACCTGGCATCAGGGAAGTAGCACCTCAATATGGGAAATTAGAAAGGACGGGCAAGAGCTCCATCAAAGCTGAGGAATGGCATTTATGAGAAGGCTGTGAGTCCACAGATGGAATTATATGGAGTTATGAAATACATGTAGGAAACTAATTAAAGAGGGGATTAGCTCAGTGGAACAGGATTCCACAATAATTAATAGATGTGTTAAATATTTTGCAGCAATTATCTCATGGATGTTCTTGGCTGCCTTAAGTGTTCAATCTGCTGCTGAGGACTTTATATTTCGTATATTGGACAGATTTGTTGTCAGTGCTGCTGAAGGGAGCAGCACAAGCCCTGGGAAACCTAAAGAGTGAAATATCAGAGCTTGGGCAGGGTGACTGAGACACAGCCTGGCACTGGAGGTGGCTCCACAAGGTGATCTCAGGGCAGGCTTAGCTGGAGGAGTGGACTGGGAGTCCTGGTGTGTGTTGGTGCTCATGGCATCCTAAAGGCTCTGACATCCAGTCAGGATAATTCCCAAAAAGCAGGGCTGGGACCTGCAGGTGAGCAGAGGCAGGGCTGGCCAGGAAATCATCAGTTCCACATCAGCTGAATTAATGCAATGCCATCAATGGCATCTTGCCCACAATGGGCACAGGGCTGATCACCCAGAGGAACCAGCTCAGAGCTGGCTTTATCTTGAGCTACATCCTGAATCCAGCTGCAAACAGCTGGGAAGTTCAGTTAGGCTGAAAAAAATAGCTGGGGAGGGAGTGGAGAAGAAAGGAGTAACTTCAGTTCTGAGCTTCATGAATTTCAGGTGGCCTGTGATTCCTTAGAGGCCACGTGCTGGGAGTGCTTTTGGTGGGATTTCTGTCCTAATTCCTCTCAACCTTCATCTCTGTGGAGGCACAGGGCTTGTATGCACTGGGAGCAGCTGTGTGTGCTTGGCCTGGGCATGGAGCAGTTGAGGGCTGGTTTGGGATCTCACAGGTTTGAGGAGGTGAGGTTGTTCCTTCCCTTGGGATGCTCCCTGAGCAGATCCTCACTCCAGCACCTGAGTGTTGGGCTCAGGAATTGAAATGGCATTGTGTTTGATGTCAGCAAAGTCATTCTTCACCTGTCTGCAAGGGCTTGTCTTGGTTTCCTTTTACCCTTTTGTAAATTACAAAGGAGACAGATTTGATTAGAAGCTTGGGAATATTCTCCTTTATAGCTGCAGTCATCCCTAATGAAAATAAATGTTCAGAGCTATTGTCATCAAAGCTTTGCACTGATACACTAATAAGCATTTGAACTACATAGCTGAGTAATTTCCATGAGGAACGAGCCCATGGAGAGGTCTGCGTGGTGCTGTTTGCTTACAGAGCTCAGGCTGGTAATTAATGACATTTCAGGCTGTGACAATCTCCAGAGCTGGGCTTCCGCCCTCTGGGGATCCGACTGCTGCTGCTGTTGTTGCCATCAGGTTCTTTCTTCATCCTTTAGGTGCAATCCCTCAGTGCCATTCTGATTAAAATGATTCCAGACAACTGCTGGGGAGGTTTGGGTCTGGTGAAGTCACCCCAGATCAGACAGGTGGATTTTCTTACTGCCTTTGCTGGGAGAGATACTCGATCTGCCCTGAGGCTCCTGCAGTAATTTAAGCCAGGGACAGGCAGCTCTGACTAATTAGAAATCTGGAAGAGCCCAGAGAGTGCCTCAGAAGGCTCTGGTTTTATGCAAGAGGCTGACTTTCTGTAGCTTCTGTGCTCCTTTCCCACTGCTCAAATACAACTCCTTGTGTACAAATAGGTTTTTTCCAGGCCCTGCACTCATGGCATTGCTGTGACTCACCAGGAGATTTGGAACATGGCTTTTAATAGCTCGTGTCTGCATAAAAGTTACTGTGCTGAGCTATATTTAGTGTTTCTTCAAGCCACTTGGCAATGTCCGAGTCTTGAGTTGGAACTGGAGTTGTAACATAATTATTACATTAAAGCAAGTTATGTTAAAGTGCCTGATACTGAAATATTGTACAAGGAGGAGCTGCCTACATTTATCTGTACATGGAAAACCTGCTGGAAAGCAATCATTTCTAGTAATACTTCATGGAAAATGTGGATGGTCCAAATTATTCTGTTTTTTTTCCCTGCTAAAGCATTATCCTTGATTCTTGTCTTTCCCAGAACTGCTCTGTCTGTTGTTACTTTAGGAAGGTTTTTCTGTTTCTTCACGTTGTGTTGATAGTACTTTGAAACTCACTTTTTCAGGTGTCCAGGGTGGTAAAACAGGAGTGCATCCATCTCCCTCAACACTTCCATCAATATAACATTAACTGTACACTGCCATTTAATAGCAAAGAATTTCTTTAATGCTTTCCTGGTTTTGTGAGGGGGAAAGCAATTGAGTATGACCCCAGTACTTGAAAATTTCTGGCTCACCCAAACATCCTTTAATAGAAGTTAAACCTGCTGAGTGTTATTTACTTGCACTGCTCGTTGTGTTTGGCAGAGGTATTTGAAGAAGTGGTAAGCAGGGTTGGAATAGTTCATATTTACAGGGAGTTTGCAGGTTGGCATTTGTCTCCATCGGAGTGCTCATGAAAAGAAAAATCTCATTTCAGTGTTTATAATCGTTATCTTAAGCATTTCCTGTTTATCTCCAAATGAAGTTCCAGGTCTCTAATTAGGAAATTGCATTAGATCTTTCTGGATGGCAGCTGAATGCAATGATGGGTTTAAAGGAGTCTGAGTGGATTTAATTAGGGGGATGCTGGGGCAGGGTTTGGGGCTGCAGGTCAGGCCCTGGTGGGAGCAGAGCGTGGGCAATGACAGCCCAGGGATCGCTGCTGGCATCAGCATCTGGGGCTGGGGACAGGAGCGGCTCTGGGGGCTCTGCACAGGCACAACACTCAGCCAAGTGGGGTTTCCATGTGGGGTGGGAGCAGGGAAGGAGCTCAGTTACCCCAGCCGCCTCAACAAAGTCTCCATATCGCTGCATTTATCTGTTTCCTGCGCCCTTTGGGGACCTGTGATAC